AATTAAAATTTTCAATGCAAATCTATTGAGACCCATTTAACTCGAACTCATTTAACGTAATATTTCTTTCTATGGTTGCATCTTTGAATTTTGTCATTTTTTCGCCACTTTTGCATTTTTTTTCTTCAATTCTTCATTAAACGCAAAATTTTACCTATAAAACACAATATAACATAGATTAGATAGAATTTAATCCAAAAGACAATAAAATATCATGATTTAAGGCCACAAATAAGTTTATAAACTACACTTATCATATATGCCATGGAGCTTGGTGCTGGTGCAGGCTACAATCACTGCTGGAGGTAGAGGGCCATTGCATCACGGCAATTGATCTCGCAGCCTCCGGCATCAACCCGAAAAGCCTAGATGAATGTCGCACATATTTCGACTATATACGACCATTGATCGAACAAACAGAATGAACCATCCCAAGAGCTCAATGTTGTATCTAACCTTTGGCCATTTACCAAGTGAGAGATTCACCTCATATGCCCCTTGCCAAAAGGAAAAGGTAATGCAGGCTATGCCATTGTACCCATTGATTACTTCACAAAGTGGGTAAGGGTTGAATCTTTGTCTAAAATCACAGAAGCTAACACTTTCAAGTTCATTTGGAAGAACATTATATACCGGTTCAATACTCCCCACTCGATGGTATCAGACAATGGCAGACAATTTGATAAAAAAAATATCAGGGACTTATGTAAGGTGCTAGGAATCAAAAAACACTTTTCAACTCCGCACCACCCTCAAGTAAAAGGTTAGGTTGAAGCCCTTCGGGGGTGGTCAAGTTGGTGGAGCAGGTGAACGAGGAGACCTAATGTCACGAGTTCGAATCCCCTACCAACACTTCATCAGTTGAGCCCGTCACAACGGGTTTGCCTAGTGCGTTTTACCTCTTCTATGTGATTTGCGTGCTACCGCACACGAAGCGAGGTTTACTTAGTGCACATTCATAGTGGTCGAGCCTCGCCCCTTCAGGGTGGTCGGGGCTCCATGACGGGTAGTGACTGCAAGTTCCTACGTTAACAAAAAAAAAACAAAAAAAAAGGTTAGGTCGAAGCAGTCAACAAAACCATCAAGTATAACCTGAAAAGGAAGCTTGATGCCTCCTAATGAGCATGGGTTGGTGAGCTCCCTCAAGTAATGTGGGCCATTCGTACCACGAACCGAAGTGCCATTGGTAAAACTATTTTCACCATGACCTCTAGGGTATGAGTCCGAGTTCACATACACTTTAATGACATATCTAACGACGACCTGAGGAGGTATGAAATCTCTGTGACTGTTCATCACAACTTGATATTATTTTATTCTATTTTTATTTTTCGCTTCATCAATTGTGAACAGTGTCAACATATGCCAAAAGAATATCCAAATTCACACAGAACCATTCAGTGCCATTAAGGAGCCAAGAACTTAGACAACATTAACAAAAAAAAAATGTTGCTTGAAAAGTCCTTAATACTCCAACCACCGCCATATTCCCCAACCACCAAACTTTTGTTTATAATAATAATTAACAATTTTACTTATTTTTTATTTTTTACAAGGAACCACAACCCTTAATACTCCAACCAGCACCAAAAATACCAATTTTTTTTTCTTTTTTTCATCAATAAGTTTTATTAATGAGTCCAAAATTTCGTTACTAACTATGAAAGGACCAAACTGTCATCGTTTTAAAATGGGGAAGCGAAAAAATGAAGAAATATGAAATCACATTACCCAAAATGTTTGGCTCATTTTATTGGATGCCAAAATCTTTTCTTTGACATATCCACGTTTCTAATATCACTTCAATTTCAGAAACTTTGACTTTGTGTGAACATGAAATCCATGTATGTTACAAATCTCCCTTGAAATTCATAATCTTTGACATTGCATGAACATGAAATCCACGTACGTAACTAATCTCCCTTCAAATTTAGAAAATTTGACATTGTGTGAACATGAAATCCACGTACGTTACAAATCTCCCTTCAAATTTAAAATCTTTGACATTGCGTGAACATGAAATCCTCGTACGTAACTAATCTCCCTTCAAATTTAGAAAATTTGACATTGCGTGAACAAGAAATCCACGTTACTAATATCTTTCTCTGATTATCGATTATCTGCTCTCTGCCAGCAAACATTGCTCTTTCTAAGACAAAACATCGCTCTATATATACAGATATATGTCTAGATATATAAGAAATATACTAATTAAGCAAAAGAAAGATGGAAGGTAAAAAGCAACAAAAGCATTTTGTTCTAGTACATGGTGTTTGCCATGGAGCTTGGTGCTGGTACAGGCTACAATCCCTGCTGGAGGCGGAGGGCCACAGAGTCACCGCGATTGACCTTGCAGCCTCCGGCATCAACCCGAAAAAACTAGATGAGCTTCACACATTTTCCGACTATACACAGCCGTTATTCGAGGTAATGGAGTCGATTCCACCATACGAAAAGGTGGCATGAACATGGCTTTTGCAATGGAGAAATATCCTCACAAGATTTCTGTTGCTATTTTTATTACGGCAATCATGCCTGACACTGTTCATAAGCCAAGCTATTTTATTGAACAGGTAAAATTTTATTTTGTAAATGTGTGGTTGAAAATGAATATGTAGAAAAAAGAGTTTTGAAAAAAAAAAATTTATCAAACAGGGGCTTAATTTGCTCTCACTTGTTTTAATAAAATGTGGAAATTTATGAAATTCAAAGAAAGCCTTTAATTCAACACTTTTTATTAGAAATTGTGTTGCGAACTTTGTTCAACAAAAATATTTACACAATTTCAGGCTTTAACCATCCCAAAAAGATTAACAAGTATCTAGAAATAACATTATTTATTTTTACAAAAAAACTAACGAAAACAAAGATGACAAATTATTTTGAAGGAAATATATTTTGAGAAAATAAAGTGATTTTAATTTTTTGATAAATTTCATTTAATTTTTTTTTCATTAACATGTTTGGTAGGGTATGGAAGATTCCTCGGAGGAAGATTCTACGGACAATCAAATCATTCCATTTGGTAAACCTGAAGATCATCGAGTAGCAATGCTCTTTGGTCCACACTACACATCATCCAAGCTATATCAACTATGCCCTTATGAGGTAAAAAAGAATATAGAGTGGAACCAGCAGTAAGAATATATAGCAAATAAAAAAAAATAAATTTTGAGGCAAATTAAAAGATTATTTTTTATTGTTTTTTTGAATCATGATGATAAAACCAGTGCACTACCAGGTTTTTCAAGTTGAATTTCCATTAACTTAGAAAATTAAATGCCTGAAATAAAAATGTAGAAATTTAAAGTTTAATGAGAACTTTATAACTAAGGGAAAGTTGAGTGATATCTTTACCTTGACCAACGAGTATTTTCAATCCATTATGGTAGGATGTGGTGTTAGCAAAAGCGTTGATGAGGCCAGGCTACACGTTTTTGGAAGATTTGTCAAAGCAGAGTGCGTTTTCCGAAGAAAGGTATGGATCTATAAAGCGTGCATACATCATACCCGATCAAGATAAAACCTTAACAGTAGAGTTTCAACGCTGGCTAATTGAAAATTCTGGAGCATCAATAGTGAAGGAGATGAAAGACGCTGACCACATGGCAATGATCTCAAAGCCCCATGAACTTTGCCAATATCTATTGGATATAGCTTGGGAAGGCAAAGTCCCTCATCCCAGCCCCGCTAAGGATTTTATTGCCCTATCCCTGCCTCAATTCCCTCTTAAAGAGGTGTGGGACGAGATGGGACGAAGTGAGGCAACCTTCCATCATGTTTACTACCCTATTCATACATTAATTTTATTTTTAATTTTAATTAAAATTTCACTTTTAATTATTTTAAATTCTAGGGTAATTTGAAAATTGGGCATGGGTGATCCGTTAAGTCCCCAAATTTACATCCCCTAGATATAGCAAGCAATTTAAGCCTTGTGTTGTAATAAGTGTTTAGGAGTATAAATCCACCAGTCATATGATTGTTTGTCGTGGGCTTGTCCAGCACAATTGTATCTCATCTATTTTTCCTTCTGTATAACAATTCTAGAAATATTATTCTCTTTTTTAAATATTAGAAATACTACATATTAAGATATAAATTATAAAACCTACTTTCACACTGAAAAGAATGCAACATGTGATACTATGCAATTTTACAAACCTGATATTCATTGTAATTGAACAATGACATGTACATGTAACATCAATAACATGGGATATTCATGTTATAGAACATATGATGTTCTAATTGGATACTGAATATTACATATAACAACAACGTAATGTTGATTCTATATCCATGCTACGTGAACCAATGTGCATTATCAAGTTTAATGACAAGACAATTTAAAAAATCAATAAATACGGATGTGGTTTATTTTTAAAAGATAGAATATTAAGTATTTGTTTAACACAATTTATTTGAAATCATTTTTTGTCAAATTCATTTTCAATCGAACATTCTCCTAATAAAATAATTTTGTACATTAACTCACAAAACTTTCCTACTTTTTAAGCAAGCATTCTCCAAAAAATAAATTTTCATTTTTGTGTTTTTGCTTTATTTT